CTTCTTCATTTTGAGTTATAATTTTACCATCAAAGTTATAAGTAATGGTACAGTGCCGAAGGAGGTACCGTAGACTTTCCCATTTTTGTAAGGCACTGAGGCGGTACCATACTAGTATTTATAAAAAAGAACATACTTTATTAAATAAAGTATGATATGTTTATTCTACATGTAGGGGTGGAGTCAGGATTTTGTCTCAGTGGGGACAACCTATTCATACCTAATTGAAAAATAAATTTATCTAATTAAATTCAAGTTTAAGAGTTCGTCATTAAGTTCGTAACAAAACTTATTCAAAACTAATTAAAATATAATCCATAAATCCAAAATATAATCAAAACTAGAATTTCAAGAAATCAACTAAAGCAATTTAATATTAGGAAAGAAAAATAGCACTAACCAAGAATTTCAAATAACTAATTTGAAAATAAGTTTTAATAAAAATCTAAAATAGTTGAGTGGTGATCCAAGACAAAACAAAAAAATCCTACGTAAGTCTATAAATAATACACCAAACAATCATCAATTTTACAAGAGATAAACTAATTTTCTAATATAAAAAATCTGATTTAGATTAGTTCTAATACTACTATCAAAAAATTTGGTTAGTGGATTACCTCTCCTTAGCTTTAATATCATCTTCTAGTATTTTTTTAAGTTTGATTTGCATAATGATTGAATCCATTAGGATGATTTGTTGATGAATATACCAAAGGAACTAACAAATAAACTAAATAAAAGAAAGAAGATAGGTTGTCGACTGGAGGCCTGGACTAGACTGGAAGTCTAGACGAAAAAGACGAAGGTTTATAAAAAAAAAAAAAAAAAAAAGACGTGAAAAGGAGCTACCAAAAGTTAGCTTTTAAGAGTTAAAAATTATATCAATATACTTTATACTTTAAGAAAATTTCAGTGGGGTAAATTTGAGAAATTCTTGAAATTTTTAAAATTATACTTAGGTCCCAAATTTTTTAAAAATTTCAGTGGGAACAACTGTCAGACGTGAAAAATGAAGAGGAGCTCCCAACAGTTAGGTTTTAAGGGTTAAAAATTATATTAATATACCCTATAATTTAAGAAAATTTTAGTGAGGACAAGTTTAACAACTTCTTGAAATTTTTAAAATTACACCTAAATTCCAAAATTTTTTAAAATTTAAATGGGGGCAACTGCCCCCAAGGGCGGAGGGAGAGTAAGGCCAAGGTGGGCAAGCGCCCCCCCGCTCTCAATTTTTTTTTTTTATATTAGATAAGTATATATATTATATATTTGTATAATATATTATTTGTGTTCACCTAAAATTTAAGATAAAAATATTATGCCCACATTATTTACTCAAAAGAATTAAAAAATTAAGTCCATTAAAAAAAAAAAAATTGAGCCCACCACTATCTACCAAAACTTATTAAAAAATAAAATTTTTGACCTATCACCATCCACCCAAACTTATTAAAAGAATAAAATTTTTGGCCCACCATTAAAAAATAAAGTTTTTGGTCCACTTGACACACATTAGTAACACTTATCTTATTATTTATTTATTTATTTTTCTCTGTCTCACTCACTCCCAGTTTCCCAACCAGAAAAAACAGAGTAAAACTCATTTCTCAGTTCCTTGGGTTTTTGTAACGCCCCAAAACACACCCTTGATGATATTACATTCTAAAACTATTCATATCATGAGAGCACTAATATAATCCCTTAAGAAACAAGACTTTATTTGTCATCCACGAATATTTACAACATTATCCAAAAGAATAAGCCCAAGTTATGGCTATTACATCTCAAAAATTAATTAAGGAAGCACAGCGGAATAAACAAAAATAGCTAGATTACATAATGTTCCAAAAGAATGTCCTAGTCTAGTACAAAAGGAAAGGAGGTCGCTCTATACATCCACCTCGGGATCCACACTCCTGTCCCGTGAAGTCTCCCAAGTAGCGAACTCCTCGACCTTTACGTCCTCCTCCTCAAGCGGGTAATCTGAAAAATGTTAACGATAGGGGGTGAGCACGAAGCTCTGTAGAAACATTCTCCCAAACCTATACAAGGTTTAGAAAAGCATTTAAAACGGTCGGTCTCAATTTTAACATAACATAGACACATAATTTGAAATAAAGTAGTGACATTTAAAAAGGATCTCAAGTTTATTTAAAAATATTACTTAAATAAATATATGAGTACCACATACAAATAATAACCATTAATTGTCATAACTAATTTTCAATAATTCTTTCGGTAGGTGGCATACTTTGTGGTAACCTCCACCCCCCTTTTAGGTCACCTTTGATTTTCAAGCATCCTTACCGGGAACCCCTTGAAAATGGATGAGCATCCTTACATGGAACCTCTCACCAATCGCTACATTATTTTCCAAGCATCCTTACCGGGAACCTCTTGGGAAGGGGTGAGCATCCTTACAAGGAACCTCTCACTCATGTGCATCATAAACAACCCAACCAAGCATAAAATTTCAACATTTATCTCAATTTACAAGCATCTATCCAAAATTCTCAAAATATATTATATAACAATTTCACAACTAACTAAGAAAATACATGAGATCACAATAACATTATTTTTCTACCAATACAAAGCACTAAGGTTTTGAAATCCATAATAAAAAAAGCATTTAGGAAGGAAATACATCACTCTCCAAAAATTAGGGTTTTAAAACTAGAAAGGAGATTTCATGGGTATTAAATCCTACTTTATTCAAAACATGTAATCCTTGCAAAAAGTTTAAGAGATGATGATTTCATAGCATATATATATCATTGATAGCCAAAACATACATATATAAATACCCTAACCTCAATGTAAGTGAATGAGAGAAAACATCTACCTTAAATCCTTAGCTTTGAAGTGAAGAACAAGAATATTTAATCTCGAATCATCCTTGAATCTCTTGTTTTTCCCTCCCTTTCTTCTTCTCTAATGCCCTCTAAGGTTTTAAGAGGTGTGGGGGTGTAAGGGGAGTGAAGCAAATGAGAGCAAATGAGATGAAAATAAGTTTAAAACATAGCAGCCCCGAAAAATACTGTTCACAGGCTGTTTTGAGTTTCTCTAAATTTACGGTTTTACCATTAAGAATCTCTAATTTGATCCATATGACTACCCTAAGATTTTTCGACGTTCCGGATTCATTTTTAATGTTATTTTAACCTAAAAACATTTATTTTTATGATTTATCTCAACACCCAAGTCAACATACACCCGAAATATTAAAATTTCTATTTTACCCATCCGAATCGACTATTAATGAAGTTTTGCGATGTTTGCAAATAAAAGGTGATAAATGGTGTTTCTTAAAGCCTTTTATACTTATTTGAAGCCTAAAAGTACTTATTATTTTTATATTTTGATTTAGGATGCAAATGGAGACATTAAGTGTAAAACGAAGCTAATTGGACTATTTCGACATCATTTCGTTATCTGAGCATAACTCTCTCATCCAAGCTCCGATTGATATGATTCAAGATGCTATGGAATGATACGAAAGAGATCTAAAACTTTTATGTTTTGAGTTTTGAGAGATATTGACTGCATCAAGGTCTAAATCGAGCTTGAAGTTTTAGCAGTGCACTGTTCATAGTCTGTCTTTGTCCCTTTTCCATTTCCAATCCATTCCTAAGTCAACCAAATCTATCCCAAACCTCTCAAACACATATTTCTACACCAAACCTATTTAATACAAGTTCTATGACCTAAAATTTCATATTTTCACTTATTAAAACCAAATTTTAACTATTATTTTCACTAACATTTTAAATCTCTACTTTTTCAATCTACCAAATTCAAACACACATCACTACATATATTCACATTTTTTTTATCACAATTATTTACTATATATCTATATACATATATAAAAAAAAATGCGGGGATGTTACAATGAATTTTTTTGTCATTCCTTGCACAGTTGATGGATTTAGTAGAGAGCATAGCCGAAGCCAGCATATGCGGGGGAGGGGGGGAGCACATGTCCACCCTCAAATTTTTTTTCTTAACATTAGCTCTATGTATTTCAAATATTTTTTCAATATTTTTAATTAAGTCCACCTTATTTTTTTGGCACATCAATTAGTGTACACTTATATCAAATAAACATGAATTTTTTTAAGACATTTTGGATATGTTATGTATATAAAGACCAAAGTGATAAAATGATGGTGTATATAAAAAATAAAAACGTTGTTATACAACCGGTTTCCAAGTATGAAAATTCATCAGAGTCAATTCAAAATAATTTTAATTAGTCTATATTTTGTAAAAATAAAAATTTTGTGTCGTTTGTATATATTAAACTTACTAAATTTTAGTATGTTGGGTTTAATGAACTTTTAAATATTATCTAATTAAATATAAATTATTGTCCTATTTCTATTGATTGTAAAAAAAAAAATTAGTTTGTTGAAAATTTGTGCCCAACCTAACTTTCTGGCTCCGCCCTTGACTACCCACTTACTAAATCCGCCATGTAGCTGCCCCACTGCCCCTATACTAAATCCGCCACTGTCTACATGGCTGAACTAGTTCAAGAGGGTCTAGGAGGGGTGATAATTTAGTGAGTTATTTGGACTCAACTCAATTTTTAAATAAGTTGGGCTTGAAATTTTTTTTAAACTTGTTTAGAAAAATGAGTCCAAAAAACTCAATTCGAGTTCGTAAAATTTGACTTGCTTGTATATAAAATAATCAAATTATTTGAGCTGGGTACGGGTTTAACTAATTTCAATTTTAGACTTATTTAAAAAAATGAACTAGGCAAATTTGAATTGAGCTCCAAAAATTTGGTTTGATTATCACCTGAACTCTGACAACGTAGCCTAAGAGCAGTACGGGTCGTTTCGTGGTGGATCGGGTCAAACCGTCTCGGCCCAACTCTCAAATTTCCCTCGCTCAAAGCTCTTCCCCGCATAGGACAACATCATGAAGTCCGAGTTGTTCTCCACTTCCACCAACACAGTCGACCGTTGGACTCCGCAAACCGAGAGAGAGAGAGAGAGACGCTGAGCAATGGTGATTGAGCGGAAGAGAGTTCGAACCCTTGAAACCCCAGCAAACCCTGTTCACAAAGAACTCAAGCACGACAATGGAGAAGCCATTGAAACGGCGAACACTACTTGTGGGTATGAGCAGGCCAGGGAAGAAAGAATCAAAGAGAACCTCGAAAGAATGCAAAAACTCGGCATTCTTGACCTCTCTCTCAAACTGAAGTCCGTCAAGCCCACACACAAGAACAACCTCTTCAATCGCAAAACCCCTCAGCGTCCCTCTCCGTTGCCACGTTCCGGACCCGCTCGCCGCTCTTCCAGGTACTTCATTACCCACAATTTGACGCTTCTTAATATTCTATTAATAAGCTTTCCGGGTCGAGTTCGAACATGATTTATGGCTGTTTTTAGTCATTAGGTTCTCATTTTCTTGGGTTTTATCACTGTACTTGTAGATCATTTTTAAGAAAATGGGTTTTTGTAATAGATTTTGGGGGTGTTGTAGTCCTTAATGCAGAAGGGTTTCTTCAATCTTGGACTAAGTATAGGGATTGAGAAAACTAGTGGAGCTCTGTTGACCTGTTACTGAAAACAAATAAATGGGAATCTGGGGATTTTGACAAGTATTGATGTGGTGTTACTTTATAATGCTCCTTTTATTTTTGTTATTTGGGGTGAGAATAGGCCTTTTAGTTTGAAATTCTTGAAATAATATTGATGGAGTGGTGTATGTTATTTTCACCCTTTTTGGTGAGATTAGGCTACAGAGTTTGACACCGGTTAGCTACTCAGAAGTGCAATTGTCTAACAAGGATGCTTCTTTGGGAGACAAATATGATCTACTACGGGAGGAGGGTTCAAAGCCAGAGGTTTACTCAGAAGAACATGAAAAGCTCTTGGGTAACACTGAGATGAGTTGGACCCTTTTTGTGGATGGATATGCAAAGGACGGAAGGCGAATTTATGATCCTATAAAGGGAAAGACTTGTCACCAATGCAGGTGTGCTGTTCTCTCCATGAGCATAAATCAGTTCATGTTACATGGAATGGATTTGATTCTCGCAAAATGTTTCTTTTCCTATATATTGATTTGTGTATAAAAAGTTTTACATGTTATTCATACACAAAAAGAAGTTCTTTTCCTAGGCTGTTGCATGATATCACAGGTGGTCTTTGATTAACCTTTATGGCTTGACATTGGTAGAAGTTATGATGCGATTATTGTTTATGCGTATCTTGATATGGCCTTTGTGGTCACTTTTTTTGAAGATTAGTTGGCAGAAACTGCATGAATGCGGTTTAAGTCTGACTGACCAATTAGAATACTTGTTTCAGCCATCTCAAATATAATTAAACAATAACCATCAGCCTTTTTAACTTGAATTTTATTTTTTTGTCTCCTAAGATCAATGAAGAAGTTTTTCTTGTGTTAATCAAAGTATCATCGGAAATAAATTTGACCTCACTCCATGCCTTCTCACTTTGTTTTAGAATGGATTCCGATTGTTCTCTTATACTTAAAAATGCACAGTAAGCAAGTGCTTTTTATCTTATGGATTGTTGATTACAAGTATTACACAGTGATTTTGTTTCCAATGTTAATTGCTAGAAGTATCTTCATAGTTTTTTGCTTTTTCACTTCTCATTTAACATGCTTTCTAACAATGGAAGCAATTCAGATCATGTTTTTGTCCCATATAGTAAGTTCCTTTCATTTTTCCTATTTTTCCATCATGTTATTGAATTATTTGGCTGCAAGGTTCCCTCAGGTATGTTCAGTTCTTGCTTGATACTCTTCACTGGCTTTTGTAGTTTACTCATTTATATTTACAAAATGAACCATGCTGTATTTCAGGCAGAAAACCCTAGGCCATCGTACACACTGCAGTCAATGCAATTTGGTTCAAGGGCAGTTCTGTGGAGACTGTTTGTATATGAGGTATATGTTTTGTTGCGATAGAGTAGCCCTCACTTTAGGGCAGTTCTGTGAAGACTGTTTGTATAGGAGGTATATGTTTTGTTGCAATAGAGTAGCCCTCGCTATCACCCTCCCTGAGTTTGATGGTTCTTTATGCTTTCATAATATTAAAGTTTGAGAGGTACTTGCATTTCAAAGGCTGAAGAAATCTTTTGGATCATGATTCATAGCATCATTCCAATATGTTGAAGGCTACGTTTCTCGGTCAAGGTTTGGGATTACAAATAGCGAAGTACTAGTTATACGCATATCCTTCTTGATTTTGTCAATGTAAGTCCATTCAACTAATGCCAATCTTCACATCTTCCTAGTACCTAGAGGGGTCATGCTTGAATTTCTGAGCATTGCCAATTTGTGACTTATGAACACTATGTTTCTTGGTCCAAGACTCCAAGTTTTAGGTTGTGGATGACAGTTTGTAGCTACCAACTTTATAATCTTGATCTCTTGATCTCCATGACAATTTTTTTTCGGCTCTTCTCCCATGGACGTAGGTCTATATAGGCTGGATTACATATATTTTGTCTCCTTGTTGATGCTGTTCTTGGTTTATCTAAAGTTTATGCATTGGTTTGTTGCATTCCGCGTTAACCTTGAATAATAATTCAAGCTAAGATGAGAAGAGGGTGTTCAAAGTCGCATAGAAATAGTTATTTTAGCTCCCTTTTATGATGGATATGGACAGGTATAGTAAACACGGTTGTATTCTTAAGGCCTACCATAAATGTGGTACTGTGGTTTTTGCTTATTTGTTGCACAATCAAAGCAATTATTTTTTTTGTTTTTTTATTAATGTGGATAAGGTGAATAATGAACTGACATTAAATGTGTGAATACTCATAATTCAAATTGAGGCAGTTTGCTCAATAAACCAAATTTATATTCATGTGCAACTTAAAATGTTTAGCTTAGGGCCAGCATAGAGCGAGGGCTGGTATCTACACATTCGGACGAGCTGTTCTATGTTCTGTTTCAAAGCTAACTGGTTTTTTCATGCCTCCCTTCAGTACGACTGGAATGCCGAGTCAATGATTTGTTTGTAATATTTAAAAATCATCCAAGTCAAATAACGGCCACATAGGATAAGCATACCAAATTGCCAATAGCTACCTATGGATCATAGCATGTCTGGTACACGCTCTTATTAATCAAAGATTGAGGAATCAAGAGTATTTTCCTCTGTTTTTTCGTTCAAGAAACCTGCATGTTAGTGCTCAATTGGTGGCGTGTTTGGTTTGGACATTGCCTTGATTTTGGCTGAGGATTTCTACTGTGAAGTTTATTGCTTCAAGCTAGCTGATCACTGTATGAATTGCAATATTAGAATTCTAAGTTTCTAGTATAAATGAATTTTCAACGCAGGTATGGGGAGCATGTGCTTGAAGCAAACCAGAATCCAAACTGGATTTGCCCTGCCTGTCGTGGAATTTGCAACTGCAGTTTGTGCCGGCAAGCGAAAGGGTGGGCTCCCACTGGTGCTCTTTATAGGAAGGTATTTCTGTAACTACTCCCCTGATGTTTTCACGTATTTTTAAGTGCTATAGGAGCTAAGATCAATGACTGTCCACTTTCCAGATATCAAGTTTGGGATTCAAGTCTGTTGCGCATTATCTCATTCAAACCCGACGCTCAGACACTGATCCAGAGAAGAATCCTGGTAGTAAAGTTCCACTTTCTGCAAAAAGATCAATACCCTTTTCAGACATGGAAGCAAATGCCGAGGAGACAGTCTCTCCTGACTCCAAAAATGACCTCCAACGATTAGTAAACCCCGTGTCTGAAGAGAATAGAACAGACAATGGTTTTGAAGGTGAAAAGGATGAGAAAATAAACTTCTCAGATAGTAGCACAAATGGGCATATCGATGTTGCACAGGAAAGTAACACCAAGCTTATGCAGAAGTCTGCACTTTCCACTGAGTCCAGTGATGACCACCTTGGATTATCAAAACCTGAAATAGAAGACAACAAAATAGATGATGAAGCCAACAAAATAGATGATGACTTGAAAGACAAGAAAGAGGAGAAATTACAGTTCGTGGATAATAAGCTTTCTGGTGTCATTCTTGCACCAGAAAATAGCCCAAAGTCCAAAGAGAAGCCTGCCTGCACCACCGAACCAGATAGTATTGGTAGAAGATTAAAGCAGAGGCGGACGACAGAGGCTAACGTGAACAGTCCAAGCTCTAAACCAAGTCCTGGTGTTTACGGTATAGCTGGAAGATTGAGGTCACAATGCAGAACATGAAGTCAATGTGCTCCCTGCCGTTTTTTGTTAGAAAGGATTCGAGACCAATGCAAAAAAAAAAAAAAAATTGGAATTCAGGCCAGCATTTCTTTGTCAGTTTAGAAGAATTGCATAATGCTGTAAGACAATGTTTTGTATGTTTGGGTGTGCTCTGCAGTATTTGGGTTTGGTCCAAATCCTGATTTTGTCATCTAAAACAGTCGTACGTAGGATTTGACATTCAAATTTTAAGATTATATGCTATCGAGTGTGAGCAGCAAACAGAATGTGCTGCACCTATTCGATTGTCTTGGCTAGTCTGTTGGGTCACATGGATAAATTAGTTGACTGCGAGTATAAAACGTTGTCAAATCTAATGTGAACATAATTCAGAGAATATAGAAACAGAACTTATGTATCGGACCTCATATAATTAGCATAAAAACTTTGTTGAGTTATGGCAGTCAAATTGCAAATACGAGAATTCACAATATTTGCCATATGGCATTTCTGACGAATTTTAGAGCCATCTAGAGAGATATGACTGTTGAAAAGGCTACTTCTCCCATTGGAATTTTAATAAAGGATGTTTATACAATCAAAATTTGCCGTAGTTCCCTCTCTCTCTCTCTCTCTCACACACACACAGACTTTCATTCTCTCTCACTTTCATTCTTGAAATATAATTGAACACTACAGTAAAAACTTGGATTGAATTGACATCATAGACAAAGTAAAAGATGAAAAAGAAAGCCCCCAAAGCAAAAGGCAAGCTTCCAAAAAGAGACTACTCATTCACTCAGCGCTCTTAATGAAGTTGCTAAAGCTCATCATTTACATACATTGACATAGCGCACTAGTAAATGTAGTGGATCACATTTAAGCTTTCTAGCTCTTATCCCCTTTCGAAAAAGGTGATTTACTGGTAGATATATAATCCTATGTTAGGCTTCTGCTTGCTCGTCCTATGTAGCTTTTTCAAGCTAAACAAAACCACTTTCAGCTACAAATTACAGGAGCTCTGGATCATGGTAAGAGTTGACAGCATTAACATCTAGAAAAATACACGAGGTCTACTTGAAAATAATGGTCATTGAGATTAGAAAAGCCTTAGATATGAGAGTACTCATTTCACACACACACAACAAAAGGAAAAAGTTTGGCAAAAAAGACAGTAAAAGGGCAGTTTTGTTGCTGGGTGAGGATCCTCTGCGGCAATCATAGAGGTGTTGTTGATCAAAACAACGTCAATTTTATGCAAAAAAATGACACCGTTTTGATCAACAACATCTCTACAGTTAAAATCTAACTGCCAAGGAGCCGGACTCTCTGTTGCTTTTGAAACTAGAGGGTAATGTTTGATTATGCTTAACCCAATAGTACGTAAAAACATGTGTATAAGTATATCATTTATTTACAAAAGATCGTCTAACCGACTTTACAAAATAATACCAACATGTTTTTACTTTGCTAATGAAATTTCTTTTTTGTTTGAAAAAAATATTAACACACAAGAAGATTAATTTGTTTTATTTTCATCACTATTGCAAAATCTTTTTCATGCTGCTCAGGTTTTGCATTATGGTTTGTTCAGGTCTTAATGTTGGTTATGATGTTCAATCAGGGGCGGAGGCAGAAATTTTGTTCAAAGTAGGCACTTTATTACGTACTTTAATTTTTTTTCTTCTTAATCAATCACGTTGTATAATATATTTATATTTATTATATCACATTTGATACATGAAGTCAATTTAACATAAAAAAAAAAAAAAGCCAAAAAACAATGCATATTATATATGTACAAAAATGACTAATTATCACCATTGTAAAAAATGGAACTAGTTGTCATTTTTGTAATTAAAAAATATCAGTTATTTACTAACAATCTATTAAATTTATTAAATAAATGATATTCTAAACACACTGAAATATTAACATGGTAAAACTATTTAACTAAAATTTAAGTGTTAAACATAGTAAAAAAAATTTAAAATTGATTGACACATAAAAAAGATTATAATCAATACTCGAATAAAAATAGAGACAATTTCTCATTAAAAAAAAGTTAAATGAAGGTCAATTGCAGGAACTTTCACTTGTAAAAATTCATAAATAATAAAATTAAGGTCATATGGAGAAAACCTTAATAAAATAAAAAGTTTGCCTCATTGTTCTATTTGTCTTTATAATACTGCTTAGTATTATCTATATAACTACAAATATTGTAGAAAAATCTAAAACTTCATACTATACCCATAAAAAATTGAGAAAATATGATATACCATGATCAACTAACAACTCAATTGGTTAAAAAATTGGATCGATACCAAATTTTAACAATTTGGGATCTATCCCAAGTTTTGGGGATCAGTCCTGACTCAATACCATTAAGTCACTACTCGATCTATTTGAATCGCAACTAAACGTGATTAAATTTTAATTTTTTGTACGACACTCAAATTACCACAATATTGGCCGAGAATTTTTTTTTGTTTTATGTGGGCTTGATTTTTAAAATTTTTTTTGATAGAGGTGGTGGGCTTAACATTTTTGTCTTTAATTTTAGGTGGGCACAAGTGATATATTTATACAAATATATAATATATATAGTTAGATAATAAAATAAAATAAATTTGAGGGGGGCACTTGCCCACCCTGGACTATGCATACCTCCGCCCATGTGTTCAATCCTCAGTTTCAAAACATCAAAGCTATGAACCATTTCAGTGGTGAATAGCCTTGGTTTTAATTAATTGGACCTAGTTTAATTAGGCATTCTTGATTCTCTAAAGATTTTAAAAGTCAGAGAATCAATCGTAGTCAAAGTCAAAACATTAGTTTTTTATGTCCCCTTTTGAAATTTCCACTATACCCCTTCTCGGTTTCTTTTCTTCCTTTAGCTTCGGTCTGCAAGGAAGTCAAGGATTTGAAGATAAAATCTTACTTAATTTTTTTCAAATTAAACTCACAGATTATAGAGATTAGCGGTTGGCCTAAAGATTACCACCTCCGCTGTTAAATTTTAAAATACGAGTTCAAATTTTGTTTCCCTCCTTGTAATAGTGTGCTTGTAGGGTTATTAAAGGATACGGATGGCTCGGGCCGACTTGATTTTGGCTCCACTTTGGCTCATTCATTTTATAAAACGAGCTGAATGCGTGAAAAAAAGAAAAAATAGTTTTGTATTGAAATTGAGCCAAGTTGCCCACGAGCCTGACCAGATTCGTATTTTTACCCTAACAGTATCTAAAATTTTTCACCCCTTATAAGTTGGACATAGCTGTAATTCTTTTTTAATTTTTTATTTTTTCTCAAAAAAATCATAGCCACACATAGAGAACTTTATGAGCTAGAGTTGAATTTTTTAAAAAAGATTTATTCAAGTTCTAATCATTTAGAAAATAATTAACTCAACTAGTTTTACAAGCTCAAGTAACCAGAGTTTTGTAAGCTTGAACCAAGCCTACAAAACTCGTTTTTTAATTGAACCTAAAAAATTAAATCGAATCCTATCTGAACCGAGTCCGAATAACTCGACTCAATTATTAGTCTAAACTATATTTATACGAATTTTCAATTCCTTTTAATGTCTTACATGAGTGCATGAATAATTTAAATTAAGTATAGGGTTGGTGACGTAATGCCTTTAATCCCTTAATTTTTAAAATACATGCTCACAAATAAACAAGTAGATAAATATCACCTAGTGCCATCTCAATCAACTAAAATAAAAATAATGTCTAACTTTAGTGTAAAATGTTACCAGAAGAAGCCAAAAAAACAATTTGTGGTAGCAAGCAAGCATGGCTGATGGCATCTTATTTTGGTGACTTGTTTATTTTATTTTTTTTTGATACTTAAAAAAAGGGGTGGGGGCAAGGAAGAGTGTTCAGCGACCACCCCGATAGGCCCTCACCGGTGGGATCATAAGGTCTTGACCGCGCCTGAAATACCTCTCAGGACCAAACTTAACTAGTCTAGCATAGCGGCCAACCACCAAATTTCAATGGGGACTCTAAGATTTGAACTCTCAACCTCAAGATAAAGAGTAAGACCGATAACCCCCTAGACCACGCTACTTAGTGATTGTGACTTGTTTAATTCTACTAGCAATGACTTGTTATTTAAAACCTACACCTCTACTTTAGCCACCATACAGCCCCTTGGCCCTACACTTACCATACAAAAGTAAGGTTTTAGACAAAGAAAGAATTACCACATTAACCAACTGGGTAACTCAGTTGGCCAGAGCCTCTGGCTTCTGCCTGAGAGATCAGGGGTTCAAAGTTTGTTGAACAGAAAAGGGTGGCTGCTTAGTAGATTAAGACCTTAGTTACTTTGATGAATTGTATTCAAATTTTTGGTGTGAGTCTTGAGTCCCAGATAAAACGCGCAAGTTCTTATTTAAATGGTGTATGAGTTGAAGGATCGGTTTATATCTTGAACTTTATCCTTGATTTTACTCAGAATTACAAGCCTGAGCGACATAAACGCGCCTCAACTCGTTCAGGACAGATCATAAAATTTCCCAATTTCCAAAAAAAAAATCCACCTGAGTCGATGGTTTAGTGGTACTTCATACCCATTTAGGGTCATCTTGAACTCTTATGCAGTTATTAAGTAAGATTTAATTCACATGAGTAACATAGTTTGTTGCTTGGTTTTAATGGTGTTGTGGTGACGAATTATTCTTCTGGATTAATAGTTACGACTCAAACCAAATATTCTATAATGGGGGAACCCTCATGGTTATGTCCAGATAAGGTTATTACCTATCTAATATAATATTACAATTAAAAAATTGAATTCTTAATTTATAAAAATATAAGAACTGTCAAAATTAATTTAATTTTCATTTATTTAGATCCAATAGTGCAAAATTCATCTAAAAAAAATTCGCTCAAAAATATCATCTTTTTTGCATGGCCCCCAATATTAAAAAACTCAATTAACACACATTTCAATGTCAAATAATCTCATTAATTCACACTTTAATGTATTATTGGATGAAAATAAATAAAGATTAGATCATATATATATATTTAACTTCCTAGCTATAATGGGTACATATATAGTTTGTTACTACAAAAAATTGACAGTTGGAGTTGGGTAACAACAAGAAAAAAAAGAAAAAGAAATTATCATTCCCTATCTCAACAACTAAATTGATCCTATGGATTATGATGCCCAAAAGGAACTTTGACAAGTATCTCAACTCCTTGACTACACTTTTCCGAGGCTCATTGATCTCCGTAAAAAATTCAATAATGATATA